GGTGGAAAAACAACAAATAATCACAACTAAAGATCTTGAGATTGAGAAATTGAACAAAGATAAAGAAAAACTTGAAAGTAATTTACAGTATAAAGAACGAGCTATATCAGTAACAGAACGTGAGGCCAATCAATTAAGATCAATTACAAAACACCTTCAAGATAAACTTAAAAATCAAAATAATAATGATCAAACGAACAAAGCTACACAATCAAATGATGATATAAGAACTGAAAACCCAATGATACCAAAACTTATTATAAATCAATCTAAAGGCTCTACTATCAATATTCAATATACTTCCACTCCTCCAAAGAAGAAAAGGAAGAAAACTAAAGATGCAAAACACTCAAGAGAATCAAGGAAAGAAACACCTGTCGATCCATTTTCAAAACATAGGGCACAATGGGGTGAATGGGGTGGTTCACAATATGAAGCTGAAAATAGGTCACAATGGGGTGGTCCACATGAAGCTTATGGGTTCCCATATAATGATTACAGACCGGAAAGCCATCATAAGGCCACATCATCTAACGATAATCCCACGTCTCCTAAATACAGTCCAGCATCTCCTACATATATCCCACATCGCCTGGTTATAGTCCAGAAAGTCCTGATTATTAACCCTGATAGTTTTATAGTTTAATGAATTTTTAATGAAATGAAGAATATTTATGCATACTACTTGTACTTTTCTACCCGTGTAATTTTGACAGAATATCGTAAATTTTTTAACAATGTCGCGAAATTAATTTTTTATACTCTTTAACGCGTATATGATAGATGCTTTTGTTGAATATCAATTGTTGTTTAAAACTTGTGATAGTATAACTCAAGTGATATGACAGGGTCTAATCCAGCTACAATACAATCTTTGATTAATGATGCTCCAACTCAAATGCCAAATCATGACTTCATAATACGACAATATGTTATTCAAGCATCTGAAAAGGATAAACAAATAGCTCAAGCTAAAAATGAAATAATTGAATTAAAACAATCAATTAAAGAATTAACAGATGAACTTAATGACTTGAAATCTAAAGCAAAATCTGATGATTCTTCTGATTCCAATAGTGAGGTTCAAAAATTAACAAAAGAGAACAAAGCATTAAAATCAGATATTAAAAATGAACAACATCAAAATCAACTAAAAATTAAAGAGATTAAGAAATTAATAAGGGAAAATAAAATTCAAAAAGAAAAGCTAGATAAAGAATTAAGTACAAGTAAGACTTTAATTGAAGATTTACAGAATTTTAAGAATTTATATGAAAAATTATGTGAAGAATCAACGAAAAGAGAATCACTAGAAAATTCATTCAAAGAGTTAGAAAAAACTCATGAGGAAGTTGTCAATGAACTTCAAGAAGAAGTTGAAAAAGTTGCTAGTTTGGAAAAAGAAATTGATGGCTTAAAATATGCTAAGAATATACTTGAACTGAAATTACAAGGCGTGGAAAATAATGAATCAGTACAAGACCAACAAGATCAACAAATTCAAACTGATAATTCAAAATCAAAATCAAAATCAAAGTCCAAGCATAAACATAAATCAAAATCCAAAAAATTTCAAAAAGTTATAATCAATCAAAGTGAAAATTCAAAAATTCATATTCATATATCTCCTCCTAAAAAGAAAAGAAAGACAAAACATAGTATAAAAGATACACCAGACCAAATTGAAACTGAAGAATAGCTATATAACTTTACGATCTAATGAAATAAATATATGAAACTTTTTAAATTTTTAGGTATATGTAGTCATTCCCTTCTTATTATACAAATAGTTATTAATATCTATATATGATTGATTGAAAGTCTTTAATCATTGTAAAATATTTTGAATTGAAAAAGAACGAGATGGTGATTCAGTAATTTTTTCTGATGTTGATGTTGTTTGATTTTCAGGATTTTGTGGTGATAATGTTTTTGTTGCGGGGATTGGTGTAGTTATTGATCCTGGTTGATGTTGTTGTTCAGCCTGTTGGGTTTGTTGAGGTTGTTCAACTTGTGGCTGTTGTGGTTGTTGAGGTTTTGCTTCTGAATGTTCTGGAGTTGGATTGATTGATTGTTCTGGCTTTTGATTTTCAGTTGAAACTGGTTGTTCATTTGAAATTGAATTACCATTTTGTTGTTGTGTTGGCTGTGGTTGTAATTGAACTTGTGAAGGATTTGTATTTTGTTCAACATGTGAAGCTTGTTCAACTACTGGAGCTTGTGAAACTTGTGGAGCTGATGGTTTAGGAATTGTATGGAATGAACCCATAATTGGTAAATTTGAATGGTTTTTAAATTCACCATTATTTGAATGTGATTGAACAATTGAAGTTTGAGGTTGAGCTTGTGTTTGATGATCTATTGGATCTGGTGATTGAGTTTGAGAAGTAATTCCATAAGCTCTTAATCTTTCTCTTTCTTGAGTTCTTCTTTCTCTTTCTAATTCATATTCTTCTTTTCTTTTACGTTCTTCCTCGATCAATTGTAATTTTAATTCTTCATCTTTTTGTTTTTGTAATTCTTTTAATCTTTGTTTTTCTTCAAATTCTTTTTGTCTTTGTAATTGTTCTTGTTCTAATTTTAATTCAACTTGTTTTTCTAAATCTTGTTTACACCAATTACAAATCAAGAATTCATTTGAATTTTTAATTAATTCTTGTTGAATTAAACGATCTTGACATTTCAAATGTTGCCATCTAAAACATCTTTCACAAGAAATTAATTTCCCACCATCATCATAATTTAATTCTCGAACACCACAATAACATTCAAATAACCATTCACCTTCACCTAATTCCATATCAGCTGGTTTAGGACCAACTTGATAATTCGAATCACCAAAAACTGTTGTTCTTCTACTTGAACTTAAATTACGTAACTTTTCTTCAAATTCTCTCTTTATTGAATTTTCTTTTGATTTAACTTTTTTAGCTAATTTTATCTTGGCTTGTTCTTCTCTATCACGAGCTTCTTGAGCTTCTCTTTGTTCTTTTTCTAATTTTAATTGTTCTTCTCTTTCTTGTAATCTTGAAGAACGTTTTCTATTTGATACTAATTCAGTTAATTGTTGTTCTCTTTTTCTTTTCAAAACTTTTCTTCTTCTATTTAAATCATCTTGAGCTATGATATTAATATATTCTTTAATATTCAAGAATAATGGTTTATATTTCTTATCTTTTTCAATTGATTTCAAGAAATCATGAATTTCATAAATACCATTAGCAATTAATTTCCATTGGAAATTTGGTTCAATTTCAGGAAATTCAACTTCTGGATCTTGAATTAATTTTGCATTTTTGAATTTTCTCGGTATATTTAACTTTGGGTATCCATTCAAAATTCTTGAATAAATTCTATTATCACTTAATAAAAAAAAACTTTCATCATTAATTTCAAAAATTGGTTCAATTCTTAATTCATTTTCTTTTTCATATTTTTCAACTTGTTTTCTAAAATTATCAGAATATTGAATTTCAAAAATTAAAAGATAAAAAATTTCAAATTTGTTTAATAATGAAAGTGATTCAAAATCAATTGGATGATCTTCATTACCTAATAAATTTGTCTTTTCACCTAAAAGATACATAGTTTTATAACCAAAATCTTCAATATTATTAACTTTAGCACCAAGAGTAACAGACAAGAGATTTGTAGCGATTTTATTTAATAATGAAGGTTCACTTAAACCAACCAATTCTTCTTCAATAAGATCAACATTGAAAGGTTCACCAGATAATCTTATAGCACCACGGAAAAGGTATAACCATTGTAATACAAACGCGTATTTCCAATCATTTCTAACTTCTTTTAATTGCTGTTGATAATTTGCAGCTTCTATTACTAATTGGAATGGAGTTTTTTGTAATTGAATTTTAATTTCTTCATCAATAAATGTTAATTTATTTGCTGGATGATTATCACTAACTGGAGTTGCAGTTTTGGAGGATCTTGACATAATTTTTCGTGATTTTATGTGAAAGTGTACCTTGTTGGAATGAGAGGCCTGAGTGATAGCAACAATATATCAGTGTGACTCAAGTATACTAATCAATCCTTAGGCAAAAGTATGTTGTACTGATTGTTGTTCTAGATCAAATGTTTTCAAATGTTCAAAGACACGAAAGAAAATTGAAAAGTCGCGATTCACGCGTGCTAAATTTGATCGCGAATGAACACTATTACAAGTTGATTATGGAGAGATCAGTGATTCAAAAGGGTTCTTTAGAGTGGTTGTGTGAGAGGTGGTATTGTGGTACTGTCACTGTGTACTTGTAGTCTATTTATACCATCTTTTCTAAAAAAACTGGAGTTTCTGGGTGTTCCAGGTGGATAATTAGATATCACAATATCTCGGACTAAGATAATCTATTGTATACCAATATCAATTGACCAGTATTTTAATATTCTGTGATACGTCTACATTCCTCTGTAGTCCACACATACACACACATTCCTAGTTTCTTATCAATGTTATGTGTACACATGTGCCCAGTGTCCTCCCAGTTTCTGTCTAGTGTCTTTGTCTTTGTCTTTTACTGCTGGTTAAATGCTGGTTAAATGCTAATATGGTTATTTATAGGCTGGGTCTCCTGTGCCGGGTGACTCTTCGCGAACGGGATCAAGTGGGCTTGAATTTAGCGAAAAGTGAAATCAATGGCACTGAGAAATGGGAAAAGGCAAACTTATACCCAACAATCCACAACAATCAGTGGTCCTTGTAACGCTGTTCTTAGGCTCAATTGACACACGGTGCGCTGTTCTCAGAACACTAGTCTCATTCTACACCACTATTTGGTTTCTGTGCAAAAATCTATCAGCTAGTGTTGAATTGTCCAACAGGGAGAAAGAGATCTATATCTCCTATAAACACGTCAAATTTCAATTTCATCAATACTCAATATTTGATTTGTTAAAAAATTCAATTATATCAAATTTCGTCACTACATTGATATACAAACTGAGATTATTGTTTCTATTATTTCAAGTTCAAAATTCATTATTTGTTTGTTATTTTTACAATAGATCATTTTTTTAGGAATTTTCAATATCTTACACAAAAACCAATATTTCATAACAACAATTAATCAGTATTCCATCATCATTTGAATCAAAAAAACATTTAAAGAAATGTCCCAGGACCAAGATCCAGATTATCATATCAATCCTAATTATCAAAAGGCTTCAGTTTTACCAAAAGTAAGGCCTAGTACTGCCCATACTGCACAAGCTATAAACATCAATAAAAGACCTCCAACTGCTGTCCCAGCTACTCCAAGAATGCTACGAAATACCAGCGGTAATCTGTTGGGTGGAAATACTACACCTCAAAGATCAAATTCTCTTCAAAGACCTTCAGGTCAATTGACTCCAAATGAAGGTTCAAATCAAATTCCTATTCAAGCTCCTGTTCAAGTTCCAATTCCAAATGATATAAATAAAAATTATCAAAGACAAGGTTCTCCAACTTCACAGTACGCTGCTCAGCAACTACCTCCACTGGATACAAAGACATTAGATGTTCATTCCAATTCAAGAACCCCAACTCCAACTAGACTTCTGCCCCCTGTTAGTGTTGATCAACAACAACAACAACAGCAACAACTATTAGCCCAACAACAAGCTGTATCTCAAGCTCAAGGTCAAATTCCACCATCTCAACTTGCTCCAAATCCTAAAAGTCATCATCAAAGATCATCATCTGTTAATAGAACACCTTCTCAAAATCATCATCATCACCATCAACAACAACAACAACAACAACAACAACAACAACAACAACCTCAGCCGCCTCAACCTTCATCTAAAAAACCAAATCAAAATCAATTTCATCGTCGCTCAATAGGTGAATGGGATTTCATGAAAACTATAGGTGCTGGTTCGATGGGTAAAGTTAAATTAGCAAGACATAGAAGAACTAATGAAGTTTGTGCTATAAAAATCATTCCAAGAGCTGCAAGACTGTATGCTAGAGCTCATGCAAATGATCCTCCACCTGTTGATCAAAAAGAACTGGAAAAACGTCAAAAAGAATATGAAAAAGAACTTGCAAGAGATAGAAGAACAATTAGAGAAGCTTCTTTAGGTAAAATCTTATATCACCCTTTTATATGTCGTTTATTTGAAGTTATTACAATGTCAAATCATTATTATATGTTATTTGAATATGTTTCTGGTGGTCAAATGTTGGATTACATTGTTAGTCATGGTTCATTAAAAGAACGTCATGCAAGAAAATTTGTTAGAGGTATTGCATCTGCTTTAGATTATTTACATAGAAATAACGTTGTTCATAGAGATTTAAAAATTGAAAATATAATGATTTCAAATACTGGTGATATAAAAATCATTGATTTTGGTTTATCAAATTTTTATTCAAATGATTCATTATTGAAAACTTATTGTGGTTCTTTATATTTTGCTGCACCAGAATTATTATCAGCACATCCTTATATTGGTCCAGAAGTTGATGTTTGGTCTTTTGGTGTTGTTTTATATGTACTGGTTTGTGGTAAAGTACCTTTTGATGATCAAGATGTTTCTGTTTTACATGAAAAAATTAAAAAAGGTAAAGTTGAATATCCTGATCATCTTTCAAAAGAAGTGGTATCTCTTCTTTCAAGAATGTTGGTTGTTAATCCAAATAAAAGAGCTGGTCTCGCTGAAGTTATGACACATCCATGGATTATTAAAGGTTATGAAGGTCCACCAACTTCTTTTGTACCACATAGAATTCCATTACCTATTCAATTAGATCCTTTAACTATTGCAGAAATGGCAAAATTAGAATTTGGTAAAAATGAAGAACAAATTACAAGAGATTTAAATCAAATTGTTTCATCAAAATTATATCAAGATGCATCTGAAAATTGGAATAGATATCAAAACCCAGATTCAATTGTAACAAAAGGTCAATTTGATCCAACTATTGGATTTCATCCATTAATATCAATCTATTATCTAGTTGAAGAAATGTTGAAACGTAAAAAGGCTAAACAATCAATTGTTGATGTTCCACAAGCTGTTAAAGAACAACCTAAAGAGGAAACTCCAGATACTATAAATGCCTCTGCTACTGCTACTGCTACTGCTACAAGTACTATTCAACCAAGTTCACAATCATCAATTCCTAAACCTAAAGATGAAACTCCAAAACAAGCACCAATTATTGCATTCCCAGAAGCTGCACATACATCACCAAGAACAACTTCACCTCCACCATTCCCAGAAAAACCACAAATTTCTACTTCACAAGCTTCTGGTAATGAAGATTTCATACTGAGTGCTCAACAAAAACAACCACAATCTCAAAGTGCTCAAGAAGAAGGTGGTAAAGGTTTCAATTCAATTCTTAGAAGATTTAGTCAAAAAAGATCACAATCAACAAGACGTCCACCTCCATCAGATCATCCATTACCTTCAAATATTGATGGTTCTACACATCCTGCTGGTTTCAATGCTGACAATTCAAGATTTGATAATAAATATCTGATGTCACCACAACAAGATGCATTAGTTCGTCGTGTTGGTAGTATGAAATTAAATAGAAAATCACCATTTGATAACGATACACCATCATCTAATACAACAAAAGTTGATCATAATTCATTACATCCTCCAAGTTCAACTAAACAACATAATAGAACTGTCTCTGAACATACTGGTGCTGTTAATTCAAATGCTAATCAAAAAGTTGAAAGTGGATCAAGTATCAATAACAATACTTTGAAACCAGTTGATATTCCAGCTAAAAAATTCCATCCATCTGCTAGAGCTAAATCAGTTGGTCATGCTGCTCGTCGTGAACCATCATCATCTTATCGTACTGATGAAGCTTCTGCATTACCACCATTACCTACAGATTTGAATGATGATGCATTTTTTGATGATGTTACATTAGATGATTATTCTCCAACTGGTGATAGAGCTACTCTGGTTACATCTAATAATTCAATTAATAATCAAGGTCATAATAGATTATCAGATTTACCAACTGTTGAATTAAATGAATCACAAATTCTTGCACAAGCTTCAAAAGCACCTGAAGGTACAATGCCATCAATTGAATATCCAAGATCATTATTCCTTAAAGGGTTCTTCTCTGTTCAAACAACTTCAACTAAACCATTGCCTGTTATTCGTTATAATATCATAACTGCATTAACTAAATTAGGTGTTAAATTTACTGAAGTTCGTGGTGGTTTTATTTGTGTTCATACTCCATCAATTGAACAACCATCAATAGTGGTGAATGCACCAGATCCAAATACAACTAAAAATGAGAATTTAACAGAAGAAGAAGTAAATAATAGTTTGAAATCAGCTAAATCTTCAAGTGGTTCCACTTCAACTCATCATGTTCAAGATTCAAGAAATCCACAATTAGAACGTAATAATACAAATGATGGTCATTCATTAGGTGAAGAATCATTTGATCAACAATCAACTCCATCATCTAAAAATGCTCATAGAAGAAAATTTTCAATTGGTGGAAGTATATTAGGATCATATAGACGCAAAAATGGAGGTAATACACCAGCAATACCACCAACACCAGTTGCAACAAGCAAATATGAATCAAATAATTATACAGCTTCACCAACTGCTCATACACGTTCACAATCTGCAAGTAATAATGATTATGATTCATCTGCATCACTGGAATCATTAAATGCTGGTCAAGGTGGTAGTGATATGTTAATTTCAAGTAGAATTGAACAAGGTAGAGCTCGTACTACTTCAACAAGTGGTGGTCAATCTGGTCAAATATTTAATAATACTGCTAGTGATGCAAACACTATTGAAAGACAAAATGCTTCAAATAAAGCACGTACACCATTAAAATTTGAAATTCATGTTGTTAAAGTTCCATTAGTTGGTTTATCTGGTGTTCATTTTAAGAAAGTTCTTGGTAATACATGGATGTATAAGGCATTAGCAGGACAAATTTTAAATGATTTGAACTTATAGATTTTGATTGTGTGCTATCCATCTATAGAAAGAAAAAAAAAGACAATATATTATCGTTATTATTATATACAGTTTTGAAATGAGTTAAGATTTAGTTAATTGGTCATGATTAGTTTTCACAGAAATTTTATTAATATATTTTTAATTTACAAAAGAAAAAAATAAGTTTGTTTTTAGTTATAATTCACGTTGACTATATTATTATAGTCATTAATTTTATCACGTAAATTATTAATTTATTATATATTACCCATATTGCTGTCGACGTTTATCTCATTAATTACTATCCAGTAGTTTTCTTAATTCATTATTAATACTAATTAATCTTTCAATTTCATAAGCTGTATTTTCCAATACAACAGATTTTGTTGGTTTTTTAGTATTTCTCACATTTGGTAATAATTGAACTAAATTATCAAAAGAATTTTTTATAATACTTCTTCTTCTCTGTTCACTACTTGTATGATTATATTTTTTTTCATCTTCAGTAAGTAATTTTCTTTTTTTATATTGTCTTGATATCACTGAGGAATTTGATGAATTTGATGAAGATCTTGTATTAGGTATTGAAGGTGTTATGTTTGATATACCCAGTTCCTTAGGGAATGAATTATTATAATCTTGTGGGATGTTTAAATTTGTTGAATTGTTTAATGTTATTGATATTGAAGTGTTTGGTGTGTTTGAAGTACTTGAAGTATTTGGTGATGGTGTGTCTATACTACATCTCTTATTCTCATTGGAATTAAGGTGTTGAGTCTCTTCAAGTTTGGAAGTTTTGGGGAATATTTGGACATGTGGTTGTAAACTTTGTGAGGATTCTTCATTTGGTGATGGAGGCATTGGATCCGGTTGTAATGCAGTTAAAGGTTGTAATGGTTGAACAGGTTGTGGGGTTTGTAATTGTTTTTGCTGAGATGATTGTGCTCTCTGTTGATTTTGTTTATTTGAAGATTTTTCATCCATTATACTATCAAGAAATTGTTCAATTGCATTACTTTCATTTGCAGATAATAATTCATCATAATTTTGGAAAATTCCAAAAGAATCTAAATCTGATGGTGATAAATTTGGCGAATTTGTTAAAAATTGTGCAATTCCAGGACTTGTCATACTGATTTTAGAATTCCCTCCATTATTTTTTTGATGATTTTGTTGAAGATCATGAATTTGTTGATGAATTTCTTGAGTATAATTTGTTATTGGTGAATTTGAACTTGTTAATGGAATTTGATGTGATGGTGGTGTTCCTGGAACTTGTGGTGGCGTTTGAGCAGTAAACATGGCATAAGCAGCTTCAAAATCCATATCAGATAATTGAATTTGATCTTTCCCTTGATCTGAATCATTTCCAAATGGTGAGGATCGTACCCATGATTTGAAGTTTTTGAAATCTGGGGATCCAATGTTGAATAAAGGAGGAGTTGAAGGTCTTGAAATTGATGATTTTATATCTTCAGATGGATGGTTCATCTTTCTATGTGTATATATCTGATCTTGATTGAATATGTATTGTTGAATATAATAGTATAAAAGCTAATGCTATAGCTGATCTGACATTGGATATATAAATGCGTAATCAATTAATCAACGTGCGTGTGGTCCCGTAAAACTGATACTAGTTTGTTAATGGGTGTATATAATCGTATCCGAATTATCTTCTCAAATGTGTCACAATGGTCTCTCTGAAATGACAGTATCGCCTATTGTCTGAGTATTTCCTGTCCTAGGCCTTATTGTCTCTGAATGTGTAAAAAGCTTCCAAAAAATAATGAACGAAATTTTCACATGCTATTTTCCAGCCTTACATATGGTCGGATCTCGTAAAGTGTATTGATTTGTACGAAGAGTCATGTGACTATCACCTCGGATCTCATGATGACAGAATAACGTGTCATTATATTTGGTATATAAAGTTATGCTACGTTATACTCATATTGTTTATTCTTGATCAAAGTCATAAAATCGATGGATCTTAAACCAATGAGTACGAAATTAAGATTCATATCGCCAAAGAAGAGAAAGATAATTGAAATTGCGGTAGGTTATGAGCGGCTGGATTCAAAACAGAGCCATACAATAGCATACTACATATAAAGACAAGTTAATCATATATTTATTATAGTGGAAGAAGATATTTAAACATCAAATTCGATAGAATTAATTTAAATCATCTTAATCAATCATTAGATTTCTGTCTCTTATTTAATTCAAAGCAGTGTCCATCAACAAACTCTTCAAATGAGGTTTTGTTTCTTCTAATTGCATCATCATTTGTTCCAAAAATTACATTCCAGAAATTATTGAAATAAAACTTATGGTCTTTAAAGAACATATGATCCATTTGGAGTTCATTAAAATTGAAGCCAGCTTGATTTAAATTTCTTAATTGTTCCATGCCCCTATTGAAATCTTCTCTGGATGATGGTTTATCACCAACATCAATGTTCATAAGAATAAAATGACCACAAAAGAAATACGTTTCATCTATTTCGATTTTTAGGCTTCCACTCCTGATAACTTCAGCTGTATTGATTTGACTCTTGTTCAGTTTGTTTGATTTGTCAATGTATCTTAGGGTTTTCAATTGATTGTTGAACATGGTTTTAAAAGTTCCAATATATTCTTTAATTTCAGTTTTTTGATCCTCTCTAAAGTTCGAAATTATGAATCTGATTGGATCAAAGATCAACATTAGAACACTATCTTCATCATCTCTTAAATTCAAATTGAACAAATTGTTGGAGAGTTTCTTGGTTAACTTAATAACTTGTGGGTCAAGCTCGTTGTGTACATTTGCAATGGTCAAACCATTCAACTGGTCCTGGTTTATTGTGTAGGAATCAAACTTTATGGATTCTTTGTAGTTAAGATCACACCAGCTTCTGAGAGCAGCAACAAACTCTTTTGAAGACTTTAGCAAGCAGTATTTCAATTGGTCCAATTTTTCATTTTTCAATCTAATTTGTTCAGATGAGAGCATAGCTTCCGAGTATAACACACCAAAGATTAAAGATCTTACTGTAACATCACTTGAAGTGATATCAGTCAAATGGTAAGATATAGGGAATTTGTTGTTTGAGTGATCTTTCAAATAGCTTTCAAACTCTGGTGAATGATAATTAATCATAAATAAGCACACTGTGAACCCGTCTATAATAAATCCAAGAGAAACTTCAGCAGCAACCATCTGAGAACATACTTGGTAAAAAAATGGTTCAAACTGTTCTGATGGAAAATTGTCGAAAATTCTTGCGATGTTATGTCTCTTAAATTCCAATGTACATAATGGCATCTCAGTCGATGTACCCAATAGTCTCTTGGATATAACTATGTCTGGGAATACATTAAAGTTTTCATTTTTAATTGCTGATTTCTCTTTATTGACCTTACCTGACGAGTTATAGTTGGGTTTTAATATAGACAGCTTTTCAAGTTTTTGATTATGAACAGCTAATGTATCATTATTTTTAAAAACAAGCCATCTTAGTATATTAACAACTGGTATGATGTACTTCTCCTGGAACCAAAAACTTATATCCAGCTCACCCAATGATTGTGGTCCGACACCAATTGAGCCAAAACAATTTTCATATATCAAAAAATCTATAAAATAGCTCTTGAGTTTTGTCATAGAAACTTCAGTGTTATCTTCCAATTTAATGTCAAATGAGTTATTTACCGTCTTAAGAGCATCTTGTATATGTGGTAAGATAGAGTCAACATCCAATAAACAGAACTTTGTTGATATTAATAAATCCCCTTTCAGTAACAATTTACTCAACAGGCTTATGCTAGGTTTGGCTTGTAATACCTTTTTATTGTATTGTGTTTGAAAACCTGGCTTTTCTACTATTTTTAAATTTGGAATAGTAAGTAATAGAATAACGGAACATTTAGCAGCATTAATACTTTGATCTAGATCTAAAGTAGACATTAAGTTCATGCACCAATGGTAGAATACGTTTGTGCCTATGGTACTCATTGTTTGTGCCAATTTATCCAAACTTTTCACGGATTTGTCATATCTAAAAGTAATATCAATTGACTTGTTGTCGTTATCAAGACAGTCTTTGATTCTCAATAAAACGTCATAATAATTGAAAGTGGCTAAGCATTGAACATCCAAATTTCTTTTTTCAAAACAATCCAAGATAAAAGATTTTAGTAAACCGAATAAAACCTTCAAAGTACTGTCTTCTTGAAATATAGAATTCTCACTATGAACCAGATTTTCCATCGTGAACTGCAAAAACTTATGAAAAGCGATAGGTGATAAGGTATTTCAACTGTTAAGCTTTGAAATCAGCAGTTCCAATCCTTTGAAACTTTGAGATTTTTACCTTTTTGGCTTTAGCCCATTAATAACTTTTGAATTACAAAGGACGAGAATATAATACTCATAGTACTTAACAACACAAAAATACAAGTAATTGATACAGCCAACATTCGAGTTTCATGACAGATATAGTGTCAATATACTCTGCTCGCTTAAATTATTTTGATTGTTTACATTTTAAAAGAAACAATATAAACATCATCAATTGGCCAGTTGAGTTTGGAAATCGGTCTTATGGCTATAGTATAATCAATTCAGTTATAATTGTGAGCTACTACAACAAATTTCAAGAATAAAAGCTAAAAAATTGACGGTTCCCTTAGACTCCGAACCACTGAAACAACAAGTAAAAGTTCAGCATGTCATATAACCCTTTTAACAGTGACTATGTTAAGCTTTTAGCTGAGAAGAAACGGGCGCTTGCTGCTGAAGGTCAACCTGAAAAACCATTGAAGGCTCAAAAAATTGAAACACCACAGGAAGAGGATAATCATAATCCGAAGTCTGAAGATAATTTAGTTGATGATGACATTCAGAATAATAATATTACATCTGGAGAGAATAACGAAAGTTTTGATGTTTCTATTGAAAATATTATAACGTTGGATACTGGTACCTTGGGTATAAGTTTTTTAGTCAATCATAAACCATGGCATGGTGGTCCTAAAAATGAAAGGTTTACTAAAAGATCAATTAATGAAGTTAAACAAATTAAACTTGATCAATCCAGTAATTCTGAAGATTATTCAATTATTTATGATGTTAAATTAGATCCATCAAGCTTTGATGAATTGACTTATGGTAATCGTTCAAGCTTTAATCGCTTTTTAAAATCAAATACTTATCATGGATGTGCTGAACATCATAAAAAGACATATAAAGAAGATAGATATAATCATAATTTTTGTGATCGTTGTGAAGATGAAGCTGAAGAAACGAAGAATTTATTCAAATTGAAATTAAGATTTTATTCCGATGTCTCACCAAATGAAAGTTTTGGACTTACTGCATTCACTGATGTTGTTGAACAAAAATTATTTAAAGCTGTTTTAGGTTTCAATCATAAAGACTTATTCCGTGGGTACAGTGATTTTTTGATTAGAAAGTTAAAAACTCAAGTTATTCCACACTCATCAGATCAAGTTTTTGACATCAAGATCAAAACAGATGATAATTCATTTTTTGGAGCTGATGGTATTTTAAATCATGTTCTGGTTGATATTGATCCTGCTGGTACACAAACAGCTCAGCTGCAACCCAACCAGTTCAGGAAGAACAACTTTCGAAAGATGATCCAGTCATTGACTCTATCTCTAATGTATTAAATGACCCAATTATTGAAACCCCACCTCAAATTTCTGAAGAACTTAAAAAACCAGGTATAAGTTGTATTGTTAATCATAAACCATGGCATGGAGGTCCTAAACATGAATGGTTTGTTATAAGGACAATAGAAGAAGTTGAAAGTATTAAGATTGAACCTTCATTTTCAAGTGAAGATAAATATTCAGTAATTTATGATGTTAAATTTGATCCATCAAGTTTCCAAGATTTAAAACAGAATAAAATCAATAATTTTTTAAATGAAAATACTTATAGAGGTTGTAAAGAACATCATAAAAAGGTTTATAAAAAGGGAAGATATGAATATGAATATTGTGATAGATGTGAGGGAGATTCTGAAGAAGTTGATATTTTATTTAAATTGAAACTTGGATTCTTACCAGTGAATGATACTGATCTTAAAAATGGACCCTTAAAATTAACTGCATTCACTGATGTTGTTGAAGAGAAAATATTTAATAATATTGTAAAAGAATACTAGACGTGGTTTTGAAAATATGATTCAAAATGGACATATTAATGAGTTGTTAAAAAAAAGTTATAAGATTAAAATAAAGACTAGTTCTGGGCATTATGATGATTTGAATCATATATTGGTTGATATTGACCCAATTGGAACTTTACAAGTTGATGAAAAGGAAGAGAAAAGGGAAGAGACAAAAGAAGATGATTATACACCTGATACTGTAGGGTGGGTTTAGTACAAAATATTCCTCTCCAATATTTATATTATTTATTATTATATAATGAAAATAAATATATCTAGATTATAATTTTGATGTTTTGTAATCAGCAACCAATCTATAGAACAGCACCAAAACCAAAAGTTAATTTAATAGCTTTAATATAATAATCTTCAAAATTACCTCTAACTTGATCTTCTTCACCAATTGGGATACCTTTAAATAAGACATCTAATTTAGTTTCAGAATCACCTTGATGGAATCCAATAATTAATTTAGCAAAATGACCAGATTTCCAACTATTTAATCTCCATTCTTGTTCTATAGATTCATTTGGAATTAATTTAGTAATTTTACCAGAAACATTACCACCAAATAAATTGAAATTGGCATTTTCTTTAAGGAAATCACCATTAAAGTCTGGATTTGCTCTTGTCCATGCACCAACTCTGTTTTTTTCTAAGAATGTAATGAATAATTGTTCAGCAGTTGTATTGAAAACAGGTTCAAGATGTAAAGTTGATGTATTATATTTTGGTACATTAGATGATGATGAAGTTGAAGTAGTTTTGGAAGATGAGGATGATCCTGTTGATGTTTGTTTTGATGATTCAGATGTAGCTGGTAGGTTTGATGATGATGATGATTTAACTTGATTAGCTTTAGTTAATTCTGATTTAACTTGATCTGCAGGTAATTGAATATCAGAAGCATGAGTTGAAATTAAATCTTTACCAAATTGTAAGAAGATTTTTCTTAATTTTGGAATTAATTTTTGTCTAATAACTTCTTTTATAGCACTATTTTTGGAATCTTCTGAAAAAACAGAGATTTGAAATTGATAATCATCTTCTTCTGAATCATAAGCAATTTCTGGAATAGTTATTGAACCTTTAACTTCAAGATCATTAATATTACCAGTATAAGCTAAAACTAATTTTAAATCAAATAAGGTACTAACTTTACCTCTTTTTTGAGAAACAACTGAATCACCTTCAATTGAAGTAACATTTGAAATATGAACATTTTGAACTTTATCATCAGATTCAGCTTCAACATTTGTTAAATTATCTTTGAAATATTGACGAGTCCAATCAATACAGTTTTTTTCAACGTAATGCCAATTGTTTGGGTTATGAACGACCATTGTTACTTTTGATGGTATAGATTATCCTTGTGATGGTTATAGAAAGTAAAAAGTTGAAAAGTTCAATTGTTGTATTGTTCTTCCGTCTCTTAAATCTCGTTTCTTGTCACATAGAATCAAAATCAAAATTATTCGAGAAAAATCCAAATCGAGTCGCGCCACACATCTCAGTTGAAGCAGTTGAAGCAGTTAATGTTCGTGACATGACTGGTGACATGACTGATGACATTTTTAAAAAGATGAACTTCTTTTCAATCTTGAGTCAACCGATTATACCAAAGATTCAACACTCAACAGAAAACTCTTGTATTTGGCCAACAGTTCAGCCGGGGGTTAGTTAGGGGTTTAGGGTTTGGAGGGATTTAGGCCAAAAGAAGATGGATGGTCCATGGACCGTGGGCTTGAAATCAAACGGTGTAGCATGCTGCGTTTCTATTGGCCATTGGTCAAATAAACTGTAAACGAGTTGAAACTTGAATCTCCGAGTATTAGCGAGCATTTGAAGTATTTAATATTTAGATCTCCCAGCTTCTCAAATCTCGAAATGTCAAAATTTTTATAGAATATGATTAAACCCTGATAAAGATATCAAGACATACAACATTTCATAGATCATATACACATATACACAATGGCTATTGAACTTTACGCTTTCCCATCTCCAAACAACTTCAAAGTTGCAATCACCTTAGAATTATTAGGTCTTGAGTACAACTTACACAAAGTCTCTTTAATGACTGGTGAACAACGTTCAGAAGAATACCTTAAAATTAATCCATTTGGTTTAGTTCCAGCTATTAAAGATGGTGAAACTGTTATTGGTGATTCTACAAACATTGTACAATATCTAGTTTCAAAATATGATAAAGATGGTAAAGTTGCTAAATTTACTGAATCATCATCAGATTATTGGAAATATAATCAATATTTATTCACTTACGCTGCTGGTTTATCATCAGTCCAAGATAAAGTTTTCCTATTTGGTTTCGTTTGTAAAGATCAAACAGATGCTATTGAAATCTTGAAAGCTCAATTGAAAACTCAATATGCTGCATTAGATAAGATTTTATCTTCAAATGGTACTGGTTATACTTTTGGTGATCAACTTTCAATTGCTGATTTAGTTACTTTACCACAAGTTCGTTCTGTTGAAAAATTTGGTATTGATTTAAATGAATTCCCAGCTGTTAAAGCTTTTAAAGAAAAATTCGAAAATGAAGCTTTTGTTAACGCTGCTTATGAAAAAGTCCAAGCTTTAGGATTCTAATTAGACTAATGACATAGATTTACTATATAGAAACTGTAATGTTAATAACTAATATACAATTATTTATACAAATTAATTGTAATTCGATAAGTGTATCAAACTAGATCGTACAATTCATTCAAACAGATCCGATTCAAATTAGAAACACTACATGTTCAATATTAGTTAATGTATAGATAAAAATGATTCATCATTATGTGTATTCTGATATAGGCTTCTCTCATCTCAAATTATATTTCAATTCCAAGATGAACAAAATCACTAATCAAGTATATATACAGATAAATCTGCACTCATATCAATATAATATAAAAGAGATTCTCATAATAAACAAGTATCATCTTAATTAATATTTTAAATTGATGTTTTGCGCTTTAATTCTAAAATAATAGAACCTAAGTGCTAGCTTAACATTAGAAAATATTATAAGAACGACATTATTAATCAAGAATTTAATATGGATATTGTATTACTTAACATTAGTATCAGATATTCAAGACTAGCTCTAGTACTAAATCAACACCATAAAAATGAGCAGCTAGTTGGAAAATAGGGAAAAGTGGCGATTTATTTTAATTTATATAATTTTGGGGAACACGTTCAAAAAGTGGATCGATACTGAAACCTTAAATTACTATCCCGGCAATAGTAGGAACTAATTGATTAATATGATGTGATTAAAATAATTAGATTATACGAGTGATCGTTATATCTACAAATATTAATGTCAAGATTAAGCTTCAATTATTTATGATCTTGGATCTATCATTAACTTTAAATTAGACGTATTAAATTCACACAAAATCTTCTCTATCAAACAGATTCTAATTCTTTATCAGATGTTTCAATATCCTTCGTTTCTTCTTCAGCCACACCAGCATATTTAGATCTAGCTCTTAATTTAGGACCATTAAGATAAAAAACCACAGGAATTGCAATCATAACAACAGTTATAAATCCAAGAATACTTGAACCCCAACCAACTGGAAATTTCTTATTAGGACCTAGATTTTTAAATAATGCACGTCCAAATAAAGGAAAAGCACCACCAAGTATTGATCTCATACATGCATTACCTGAAAATGCTGAAGCCATGTATCTCCAAAATGACATACCTAAATAATTAAATAAACATTGGAAAACAATATAAGCACCAATTGCGAAAACACCTGAACCAATCATTGGTATAAACCAATGGATCTCTGGTGATGATGTCCAACCAAATATAAATAACCCAACTGGCATTAAAATTGAACCTAAAATAGTCATTGGTAAAAAAACTTCTGGTTCAATAGTTTCATCTTTTTGAACTTTTCTTGTAAAAATTTTCAAAGTCCATGGTATATAAATGAGAACACCTATAATTGTACCAACAAATAAACTTAAAAATGATAATCCCATTAAGATTAATGTAAAACCTTTAATTTCAGCGAAAACAATTGGGAAAGCTTCAAACCATAAATACATAAGTGCATACATCAATGAAGTATATATATGGATTAATAAAACAACAGGTTCTGTTATGGTCATTTCAATTGGTCTCCATAATGTATCTTTGATTATAGCAATTGTGTTCTTTAATTTAGATAATTCTAATTCACCATTTGATGTAATATTTGAATTTCCTGTTTTTGATTTCAATCTTAAGGCCTTCTTGTATAATATTGTCTTTTCATATGATTCTGGGAATAAAAAAAACATTAATGATAAAGATATCCCATCAAATATACACAAGAACCAAAACCCCCATTTCCAATTATTTTTAACTGTTAAAATAGCACCAACTAAAGGACCAAACGATGGGCCTGATACCGCAGAAATTGACCAAATACCAATACCAATTGGACCATATGGGATTGTTAAAGCATCACAAATTGCAGCAGGACCAATACCAAGTGGAGCAGCTGCAAAAAAACCAGCAATAAATCTTAAGATAATAAATCCAGTAATGTTATTGACTAAAGCAGTAGGGATTTGTAAAATCATAAATATAAAAGTTGTAATGAAATAAACTGGTAATCTACCAATTTTAGGATGTTCACTTAATGGACCAAAAACTAAAGGACCAATACCATAACCTATAACGAGAAATGTTAAAGGTAAAGTTGCCACCGTTTTGGAGACATTTAATTCCTTTTCCACGATTTCAATACCTGGTGTATAAATTGCAGCTCCAATATAAACTGATAAACAAACTATTGCATTTAAAAGAACGAAATTGGTTTTTGATAGTAATGACCAATTTCTTGGATTTGCTAAATCATTGGAATCTTCCCAATCAACAATTATTTCTTCATTGGCGTTTGAAAATTTAGTGGGGATTTCATAATCATCATATTCATCATCATGTTTGAAAATTTTACCTTTGGAGATGTGATAAGATAATCTACCAAACACGGTATTTCTAAGGAATATTTCAAATTGATTATGTTCCATGATGGTTTATATTAAACGAGTGATATGGATGAAAAGCATCATGAATTTATTAGCTTCTGAAAACCTCATAAATGGTGGAAAGCTTCTTTTATATATCAATTTCCTCAACTAGTAGCATTATAACTAATTAACTGTATGACTGTATAACGAATATACACATTGATGGTTATTAAACGAAGCATTATACTGTGATATTATGGAGTTCCGCATTATCATTTATAATCAATTAACCAAGCAATATTATATTATATGTGTCTTGTCATAAATGATTCGTAATCAATCAAAATTTCAATGGTGCATATGGGCCTCAATCAACTGATATTAGGGCCTCAATCAAAAATTTTGTCAGTGTGAAAAGTGAAAATCATTCTATTGGTAATGATATCTATGATCTGTTGCAACACAATATGAACCATGGCTGTTAGCTTTGGACATCAATATAGTCTTATCAATTGGTATTCAAATTAGAATTGCAAAGAATTCCTGTTTGTTGTGTTCATTAATATTAACCTTAAAGGACCCTATAAAAAGTAATATTGACATTGGTCGCGCAACACAAACTCTCAGCTTATATAATCAAAATAATATAGAGCTAATTTTACGGACGATATTTTAAATGTTTTATGGTATATTACAAAATGTATTAAATTATATAAATATGTATATGTTAAAATTAAATTAAAAGATACGTGTACTCGTTATTGACGTTATTAAGAATTGAAAAAAACTTATTGTTAAAAGCAGTGATTGAACAGAACATTAGCAAAATATTGTTTTATATGTTGTTTCATGGATTCATAAAATGATCATTTATATCAATATTTAATCCAGGTGCTAAATTAGTTGTAGTCATTGAAGGTAATCCACCTCCAAGGAAATCCAACATCATATGCATACCACCACCTCCACTATAATCATCAACATCAACTGGTAAAACTTTTGAAACACCTTCCAAGAACCAAACTTTATCCTTCATATCTGTTGTAAAACCTCTTAATAAAGAATAATAACTTCTCATAATTCTCATTGCTGATAAATCTCCTGACATTAATAAAGCTAAGAAAGTTTTATCCAATAATGCAGGGAATGCAAAAATTCTAAGGATAAAATCTGATTTAAATTTTTCCTTATGTAATTTATCTAAATATGCTAAAGTTATTAAATATGGTGAGTCATATTCAACAGGATATAAATCTGCAATTGAATCATCAAAACAAACTAATTCTGATATTGATCCATTTTTTTCATTTATAATATCACCTAAATCACTTAAATCAACTGAAATAAATTTATGAAATCTTGATGTAACAGGTAATGGCCAAACTGCAGTTAATATAGTAGCAGCACCTTTAACATGGAAAATCCATGCAGAAGCAGGTAATGAAGTTGGTGATAATGAAGTTGGTAATGAAGCATTTGCTAAAGAATCCATAATTAAAATTAATGCAGATGCAACTAAAGCATCTGTATTATCTGAAGAAATTTCCAGTACAGCTTCTCTTAATAATCTTAAAGCTTCACCACGATGACTTGTTACACAATTTTCTAATCCATTCATTGTTCTTGATAAATGAGTTGCAGAAAATGCCAAGATTGAATGCATTAAAAATGGATAATTAAATGCTAATTGTGGTATATCTTCACTCCAAATTTTTTCTTCTGATATTCCAGCTGTAGTAATTGTTGGTGCAACAACTGTTGTATAATGATACATTAATCTTAAATCTAACATATTTAAAGCAGTTGGTGATGTAAAAGTTCCTAAAGCTGATGGAATTTGACTTTGTATAGCAGGACCATTTAAAGGTTGATGAGTTGATAATGGTGAAGTTACAGAACCTGGTGACATACTTGGTTGAGGTGAAATTGTTGGATTATTACTCATTGAATGTAAATTTATTGATAAATTATTTCTTGATAATGGAGTATGATCTGTCAACATTTGATTTCTTACATTAAGGGAAGCTTGATCCATTGTTGGTGATTTTACTGTGAAAGTTGGGAATGTAATTTCTGGATGTTGTTGAAGTAATTTATGTAAATGACTTGGTATTTGTTGTTGAAGATGTTGTGGAAGTTGCTGTAAAAGTTGTGGTAGTTGTTGTTCTTGTTGGTTATGATGTACTGAATGTTGATTGGAACTATTATGTTGATGATGATGATTTTCATCATTTGAATCATTATGATTATTAAGTTGATGTTGATGAGCTTGTTGGAAATGTTGTTCATAATCTTCAATTGTATAAGTTTCAGATTCTTTTTTCAAATGATTTATATATGAATCATTTGATAAATCAGCTCTATTAACTATTGGACTTTTAAAATTTTCAGGTGAAGTTGAAATATTTTGATCTTTTGTTAAAGAAGAATTATCGATATTTGGTGAAGATGATTTTTTCAAATTTGAAACAGATTTAGCCTTTGTTTTCCTCACTGGTATACTATAATTACAATCAATACCCATATTTTGACATTTAATACAAATTGGTTTATTTTCATCACATTTAACTCTTCTTTTTTTACATGTATCACAACCATTTTTAGATTTATTATGAAATTTTCTTTTACCAGTACCTGTCTTAGTACCATTAGCACTACCAGTAGTGGAACCATTTGCACTAGCATGAGATCCACTTGAACTTGTTCTTTTATGAGAAGAATCTTTTAAAGTTGAATCACCTGATGAAGGTGTTGTAATAGCATTATCTTGAGCTAAACCAGCCAAGTTATCATTTGATGATTTTGAAGACATTTTGATAATCTTTTGATGTTCACTTTATATCATGTATAGTTCTCTTGATCTTGTATCTCCAGGGTCTCCTATTATATCAATTGAGTCAAGTTGAATCGACCGTCGCAGCGAATAGTTGAATATCACAGCGTCCCAGGATCAGTGAAAGCACAAGTTTGATTGATTCTCCTAATGAATTACCAATTGAAGCAGTTGAAGTAAACGAATTTAACGAGCGCTTATAAATTTAGTTCAGACGTATGGACTTTCTTAACTATGACACCGTCGTTTAAAATTCAAACTTCTCCTAAACGAAAAAAACAATCTGAAAAAAAAACAAAAAAAAATCAGCGAAACGCGAAAAATTTATTGATTTTAAAAAAACATAAAAACGGTCGTTACGTGACACAGGAAAACATGTGATATTTTAAAAGAATATAGGAGAACGTACAAATTATTTGAACAGTTTTAAAACTTGACGTGTATTATGAGACAAGTATGGGGAGGTTAATGACCATGAGGATCTTCTTTAACTGGTTCTGGATCAACAGTGATCATGGTATCAATTCTTAAAATAGAAATACATGCTTCTAAAGCAGATTTTAATGATTTAATTTTACTAATTGTTGGTTCTAAAACTCCATTAATTGATTCATCAACAATTTTACCTTTAATTAAATCTAATCCATAATTTTTATAATTTTTTCTTTTTAAATCTGTTGGTAATGCAGATTGACTTGCACTATGATATGATCTTAATTTAGCAATTAATTCTGATGAATCTTTTGCTGCATTTGATGCTAAAGTCTTTGGAATAACTAATAATGCATTAGCAAATTCTGCAATTGCCAATTGTTCACGTGATCCAACTGTTGTAGCAAAATTTTCTAAATAAATATTTAATGCAGTTTCTACTGCACCACCACCTGGAACTATATTACCACTTTCTAAAGTTCTTTTAACAACTGATAAAGAATCATGTAATGATCTTTCCATTTCATCTAATGTATAATCATTTGGTCCTCTTAATACAATTGATGAAGAACTATGAGCTTTTGTACCTTTAACTAAAATACATTCATCATCAGAAATTCTTTCTTGTACAACTTCATCTGCATAACCTAAATAACTTGTTTCAAAAGTTTCTTCACCTTCTAAATTAGATAATGAACTAACAAATGTTGCTCCGGTAGCTCTTGCAATTCTTCTTAAATCCTCTTTTTTACAACGTCTAACAGCCATTACACCAGCTTCAACAAATTCTTTTAAACATAAATCATCAATTCCTTTTGTAGTTAAAACAACATTAGCACCTGAATTTATTATTTTTTGAATCCTTTCTAAAACAATACCATATTCTCTTTTACGAATTTCTTCTAATTGATCTGGATCATCTATATTTATTTGAACACCCATTGCCATTCTTGCTTTTTGTAAATTTATATCTAAAACTGCAATTTTTGCATTTGAAATTTTTTTAATCATTGCTTGAGAAGCAACAGTACAATTTAATGCATAACCTTTAACCAAGATAGATTCAGTTGAGGATTTACCATGAGCTTTTAAAATATTAACTGCTTTAACTGGATATTTTGTTTCACCTTTACCATTTGTTGTTTTAACAGCTAACATTGCATCAACAACTAATTGAGAAAAAAATTGTGAATCAGCACCAATAATTTTTGATGACATTGATGTTTTAGCAATATTTATAATACTTTCTTTACCTAAACTTTCAACTGGAGTAGATAAAACTTCATTAATATATCTTGTTGCTTCTCTTAATGCAACTCTATAACCTGTAATAATTGTAGTTGGATGAATTTTATTTTTAACTAATTCATTAGCTCTTTTCAATAATTCAGAAGCAACAATAACAACTGATGTAGTACCATCACCAACTTCTTTATCTTGTTGTTGAGCTAATTCAACCAAAATTTTACCAGCTGGATGTTGAACATCTAATAAACTTAAAATGGTGGCACCATCATTTGTAACAACAACATCACCAATATCATCAACAAGCATTTTATCTAAACCAACTGGACCTAATGAAGATTTGACAACATTAGCCACGGCAGAAGCAGCTAAAACATTTTGATTACGAATATCTTCACCACTAACTTTTTCACCACCAAGAACTATATATTATGTTAGATCTATGATTCTTTTATATTATAATCTCTTTTGAAAACTTTTTCATGTTATCAAAACAAAACCTTCCAATTATACTTACACAATGTCTCTGAACGAGCATTACCAAAGACTTGAGCCATTCTTGAAAGTTTGAATCAATGGATCTTGTTATCAAAATTCAATTGTGATGATTAAATCAACTTCAAAATTTAAATCACATACAAAATTCTTTTTCGTCCATTCGAAAATAAAGAAAATACGCGAAAAAGAATTTAAAAATTCATGGGCGAAGAAAGAACTGGGGGAAGACGTAGGCAGAGCTGGGAAGAGCTAGGCAGAGGGGGGTTTTTTCTAGGCAGAATACTATTTGTTAGGACTGGTAATTACACAGAGAAATGTCCATGTTTATACTGAGAGCATTCCCATATTTACACAAAGCATTCTTTAAACTTTAGGCAGAGATTACTTAAATACTACAATATTTCAAAAATCATTATTGTACATTTGTTTAAAAAAGAATTGATTGTTTAAATAAAATTGGAAATGAAAATATATTGTAAAATTAGAAGTCTCTCTCTCTCTCTCTCTTTCTTTCTATCACTGAGTTTCTTGTGATTATTCCCTTTTGACGTTTTTATTAATTATCTAAATTAAAATTAAATTCAAAAAGTTTTATAGTGGGTTTCATTTGATTATTCATAAATTGGTATTATATCTATAAAATAACACATTTCTTCTTTCTTTTTGGTGCAACAGATTCAGGTTCTAAAGCTGCAACTATAGCTTCATCGAAAACATTTTTTAAACCTCTTTGAGTTAAAGCTGAACATTCAACATATTTTACTGCACCTAATTGTTTAGCTAATTTTTCACCTTCTTCAGGTTTAATTGGTGAAGCACCTTGTCTTCTTAATCTTTCAATAATGATTTGATCTTCTCTTAAATCTACTTGAGTACCAACTATAATTGCTGGAACTCCTGGAGCATGATGATGAATTTCTGGGAACCATTTTTCTTTAACATTTTCAAATGATGCTGGTGAAGTTATTGAAAAACAAACCAAAAAAACATCTGTTGAAGGATAACTTAATGGACGTAAACGATCATAATCTTCTTGTCCTGCTGTATCAAATAACCCAAATGTATAAGGTTCATCACCAATCATTACTGTTACTGCATAATTATCGAAAACTGTTGGAACATAATCAGCTGGGAATTTATTTGTAGTATAAGATATTAATAGACATGTCTGTTAAAGTTGTTAGTTATATTCATATTGTTGATACATAATGCTTGATGATACTCACTTTACCAACGGCACCATCACCAACAACAACACATTTGATTGTTTGCATCTTTTTATTTATATATATTTATTTATGTCTTATCAAAGGGGGGTTTGGTTTGTGATTATTCTTATTTATAAGAAATTTGTAATTCTATTCTTTATTGTGTAAATGCTTTCTGTAGTAATTAATTTATAACTTGATATAACTTTATTATTAAAAGAATGAATATGATTTTTTAATTCAAAATACCGTATTTAGTTATCTCTTTGGTCTAGTATATTCTCAAAAGTTTATATTGATTAATTTGAATCAAGAAAAACTTATAAATGAATTTGATAATTTTAAGGATCAATAATCAAATTATAACACAAAAGCTTTTGAAATTTTTAAATAAATGAATATATTTTAAATAAAATTGTTTCAATTCTTTACAAATGATGACTATTTTAGGAATTTTTTTAATTGTCTGGTATTTTTTTTGATCTCTCGATAAAGTAAATTTTGACAATTTTCAATTTATGAAACAAAAAATTCTGAGAAAAAAATAACGCTAAGGATTCGCGAATTTGTGTAAAAGTAAAATTAATCTAGACTTGCAAACTTACGAGCCTAGCTGCTGGGCTGGGTAGTAAGAGTACTTGGGTGGAGTCCAGGGGGAATCCAGGGGAGAACTTAGACAGAGACTGACTTACCTGTGCCTAATCCATGCTCAGCTCCTATCTGGGATCTGTCCTGAACAGGGATGCCATGGATCATCCAATCATATCATTTTAGTCTTCTAGAATCTACTCCTTTTAGTTTTCGACATTTCCCTTTGTACTATTTAATTCTTGTAAACTGACGCGAAATTTATTAGATCTTGAAAATTTGAAACCCTTTAGATATTCCAAATCCGGTAATTGAATGTGAACATTTCAAACATTTTCTTACATTCTTCATATCTACATAAAATTGTATTATCTCATTAATAATTATGTGATTACTATCTTTATACCATACGATAAGTCCTTTTTTTGGTTAAAATCACGTATACTTAAACTTTTTATTCTCTATATTCTTAATTCTTCTCTTTATTAATCACTGACCAGCAGCTGTACGTAAAACTTTTGCAAGTTTTTCTGGTAATATTGGTTTTGATATAAAATCTGACATTCCACATGAAATACAACGATCTCTATCTTCCATCTCAACATTTGCAGTTAATGCAACAATCTTTGGTAAAAATTTAGTACCTCCATATAATGATTCTAAATCTTTTGAAGTTTCAATCCCATCTTTTAATGGCATTTGAATATCCATTAATATTAAATCATAATTTTTACTTGTTGAATCAATCTTGTTAGAACATTTCTCCAATGCATCAACTCCATGAATCGCTGAATCTGCTTTATATCCTAATCTTTTCAAATGTTGTAATGCAACTTTGGTATTAATCATATTATCTTCAACTAATAAAATTTCTAATGGAATTTCTTGACTTAATAAAACTTTTTCACTACTTGATAATGTATTTAATTTAGGTTTTTCAGGTGAATTTATAACTTTAGGTATTTTGAAATTATTTAAAATTGATTTTAATTTAGCTCTTTGGAATGGTAATAATAATATTGGCAATTCTCTTTCATGTAAATCTTCAGGAACTAATACTCCATATGGACTTAACAAAACAACATGATGATCATCTGATGTATTAAACATTGATTTATCTTTGACTTTATCATGATAATTAATATTAATGAAAACAACATCATTCTTTTGAGCAAATTCAGAATCAACTTCACCTAATAAACTAACATCAAGATTTGTTAAATGTTCTAATTCTAATTTTAATGATTCACGTCCATAATTACTATCATCAAATACAACAGCTTTACCATTTAATTCAATTTTTTCAGCTTGTTTTTTATCTAAAACTTCTGATGTAATTGTTAAGAAAAAAGTTGTACCTTTACCTTCATTACTTTCAAATGTTAAATTACCACCCATTAATTCAACTAATTTTTTGGAGATAGCAAGACCTAATCCTGAACCACCATAAACTCTTCTTGATGATCCATCAACTTGACTAAATGCACCAAATACTTTATTATATGAATTCTTTGGAATACCAATACCTGTATCTTTTATACTTATAGTAAATTCATAAATATTATCTTGTGAAATTTTTTTAGCAGTACTTTTAACAATAATTGAACCATTTTGTGTAAATTTAACTGAATTACCTAATAAATTTATTATAATTTGTCTAAATCTTGTTAAATCACCTTTGACAACATCTGCTTCTTGAGTTTCATTAAAAAATGCCAATTCTAAATTCTTATTAACAGCTTGTTCTGCAATTAAATGCATTGCACTTTCAATACATTCATTTAATGAAAATGATGAATTTTCTAAATATAATGAACCGTGTTCAATTTTAGAAAATGTTAAAATAGCATCAATAATATTTAATGTAACTTTTGCAGACGATTGAATAGTTTCAACATATTCATGTTGAATTGCATCTAATTTAGTATCAAGTAAAAAACCTGCACAAGCAAATAATGAATTGAAAGGTGTTCTAATTTCATGTGACATATTTGCAAGAAATGTAGCTTTTTCAGCTGTTGCATCTTCAGCAGCTTTTTTAGCCATCATTGTTCTTGAATATAAACGTGCTTTATCTAAGGCAAAAGCAGCTTGTGTACATAGCAGTGAAAGTAAACTTAATTTTTTCTCTGTGAAAACATTTGAATCTTTTTGTGATTCAAAATATAAAGCACCTAAAGTTTCAATTTCATTTTTAATTGGAACACATAACATTGATTTTGGTTGATGTTGGAAAAAATATGAATCTGATCTATATATTTTTTCAAAATTATAATAATTATCAAAATTACTCAGTGCTCTACCATTGCGAATAACTTCACGAATTAATCCGTCTGGGAATAATAAATTAGAATCTTGTGATTGTAAAACATTAACATATTGTGGACTACCAACAGCCTTATATTCTAGTTCACCCATTTCATTAGTTAATGCCATCACTGCATATTCAGCAGAAGAAATTTGTATAGTATGTTTTATTAAATTTTCAATAATTGAATCAAATTTAATACTTTCAGAAATTGCTAATGAAGCTTTTATAACACCAACAATATTTGAACTTTCAACATCAGTATCAAAAATTTCATCAATTTGATCACTATCTTTTTGCAAAACTGTTGATAATAATAAATTTAACGATTGAATATTACCTTCACTTTTCTTCCTTTCTCTACCACCTAATTCTTCAAAATCAACTTTATCAAAAACATCAGGATATTGTTTTTTCAAAAGATAAATTTTCTTCAAGTGTCCAGAAATTTGAAAACATTTTGCAGATTCTTTTAAATGTTTTGAAGCTCTTTTTTTATTGGGTGATACACCATATAACCACGAGCCACATCTTTCATGAATATTACCCAAATCATAAGCTAATCCAATTGATTCGGCTTTTTCAATTGCATCAGAGTAAGCATCTAAAACTTCTAAATCTGAACCACCATCTAATTTCAATAATTCGGCTTCAAATAAATGTAATTTAGATTCGAATAATTTGGGTGAATTTGATCTGCAAAATTGTAGAAAGTTCAAATAATCAGTGATGATTTCTCTTTTAATCTCATCTGATACGTGTGGATCATCAATTGATAAAAACGCCCTTGTTGACATTGTCAGAATTGAAAATATAGTAACTGGATAATCTTTTTGAAATTTATCAAACAGTTCATCTGTAGCTTTAACTCTTCTTTCACTTTTCTCATTAATTAATTCAATGTGTAGTTCTAAAGCTTGATAAAAACATTTGAAATGTAAAGTTTGATCTTCAAGTTTGAAATCAGGATCTTTTTGTAAATCATATCTATCATCATAAGGTAAATTTAACAAGGCTCTGAAAAATCTTGCAGAATGTTTGAACCAATATAAATTTGTACTATTTTCCATTTCAGATCTATTAACAGATCTCATTAAATGATTATAAACAGTTTGAACATTTTCACCATTGAATAACTTCATGATTGGCTTAATTGCAACTGTCATAACAAAACCAGTAGCAAATCTACTTGAATAATGTCTATATGACATAATTGTCATATCATGAAATCTTAATAGTTTTTCAATAGGCTCAAGAAATGTACCAATTGTAAAACAATAAACATAATAAACTTGATTTGCAAAATCAAAAGATTCGGCTTTTTCATTCAACAATTTAATACCTAAATTTGCATATTCTTGTGCTCTACTTCTTGAAAATTTAATCTCTGAAAGTGCAATAGCTAAAAATGCTAATGCAATAAAACCTGATCTACCATTTTCCACTGCATGGGCAACCATTGTATAACCAAGTGAAGAAATTAAATCAATTTTACCAGTAGGGACAATAGCCATTATAACTTCAGCCATGATTTCTTGAATTAATGTAACTTTCCTACTTTTGGCTTTTGGTAAATCAGCTAAAGTTTTTATTGCAGCAATTGATGTTGGGAATGAACTTTTCAAAACTTCAATGTTTTTAATATTCCAATCACTATCAATTTCAATATCAATATTTTTTCTCTTTAAACAATCAATACCAACTTCAACACATTCATGAATTCTTCCTAAAGTTTCTAGACAACGCATTGTATATAAAACAATGGTAGGATCCTGTTGGAAACTTTGTGAATGTCTTTGAATGAAATCTAAACATCCTTCATAGTTTTTAACCATTACTGAACATTTAACAATCTCCACGTGTAATGTATAAAGTGCCTTTTTATCTGATGTATTCTCAAGTAAATTTTTAGAAACATTCAAGAATTTTAAAGCAGGAATAAAATCAAAAAGTTTATAACAAAAAGTCTGAGCAGCTTTCAAGACACCAATATAAATATTAGATTCTTCTTTTGTCATAGCTGCTGAACTTGATTTAGAAAAATGATTAGCAATTTCTAAACATCCATTCATATCTCTTTCAATGAAATCATTATCTCTAGAATAAAAAAGACGTAACCCACAATTTTTATGATATTGAATAGCTTCATCTTCTGTTAAAATTTCAAGTTGTAAAAAAGTGTGGAAAGAATCATGGACTGGTGAAAATAATGCTAACTTAGATAAATCCTTGATATCACCTTCTTCTATATTAAATGGTAATGTATCAGATTCTAAATGGAATGGAAATTTATAAAAAATATTTATAGGATAAATCAAATTATATTCAATAGCTTTTGAAATGAATTTAGCCACTGTAGTTAATTTTGTTTCAGAAACAACAGATAAATCATGTAATGAAAAACTTGTTTTATCAAAAATACAAGAAATGTATTTCAATAATTCTAAATCATCCTTATCAAAATATTTATCTAATCTTGATCTATAAAGTTCTGTATTTGTATAAGGAACTCTTTTTAGTTTTTCAAAATCAACGTTCCAAGTTGGTAAAGTATTTGAAGTTGGGTCATAATTAATTCCATCATCAAGGCGTAATTGTTGAATCATTAAAAGTGTAGTTAATGCATTTCCTTGAGATTTATCATAAAGAAATTCAGCGACGCATTCCACTTGAATGTTAACACTTTTGGAATTTCGATCACTTTCTTCTTGTAAATTCAGTTGTTTGGGAACCATAAAATCTTTAGTATATCTAATAAATGGTTCTAATGGTAAATTTGGCATTTGAATTTCATCAACTTCAAAATCAATATTTCTTTTGAATTTTTTCAAATTTATCCCCAGTGAAGTATCAAAAGTTGCTAATATAACTAATCTTGAATCTAAATTATCTTTAGTTATTAATGAATTAACTTCTCTCAACATATCTAAATCTGATACTGCAAACCATTGGAAATCATCGAAAAATAAAGTGATTGGGAAACTTTTACCTAAAGCTGCAAATAATGATTTGATTAAATATTTAAATCTTAATTCTGGTTTTTGAGGTAATAAATCTTTACCACCTGCATTTATATTTGTAATATGTTTTGCATAATTTGGACCTAATAAATCATTTAATTCTGGGATAAATTCAAATAAAGGTGATAAACTTGATGCAACAACATCTAAAATTGCCTCTCTACATCTTACGATGTCAGCATCTGCACTTGCTAAAACTTGATGAATAACACTTTTCAAAATTGATAAATAACAACCAAATCCATTGATTCTTGGTGAACATTTCCAATGAACAAAATAATGGTTATTTGATGCAACAAAAGTTTGAACTTCATTAACTAATTTAGTTTTCCCAGTTCCTGTATCACCAGTCATTAATAACAGACGAATACCATTTTCCATATTATTATAATATTGTTTAATTTTCTCCAAACTTGAATCTCTACCATATAAACCTCTTGGTAATTTAAAAGGTAAATGTCTTTGTTTCATTAATTCTTGATCAAATTCCTTTCCAGTGAGAACATATTGTAAATCATCAGCTAAATAATCACAACTTTGATATCTATCAGATGCATTTTTAGATAAAAGAATCATAATAACATCACTTAAGAATTTATCCACACCGGCAACTTCAGGTGCTTCAGGGAAATCTCTAATATGTTTATTAATTAATTCTCTTCCATCTGATGCAATGAATGGTAAAAACCCAATCAATAATTGATATAAAATAATACCTATACTATAAAAATCAGCTCTATAATCTGCTAATCTATTAATTTCACCACTAACTTCAGGTGCCATATAAGGTAGCCAATCAATCAAATATCTCTTATTTAAAGTTCTATAACCTCTTGTACAATCTTCAGTTGCATAAGGGAAACAAAAATCCCAACCAGTTATATAAACTTCACCCATATCATTAACAAGAATATTTGAAGCTGTAAGACCATTATGAGTGAAACCAGATTGATGAATTTTTTTCAAAACTTCTAAAGTTTTTAGAATTGTATTCAAAATTCTATTTTGATCATTATCACCATTAACAACAAATATTTCTTTTAATGATTTTAAATTCAAAATATCTTCATAAACCATCACATAACCTTCATTATCTTTTAATGTAATGAAATCATATGGATATAAGATTCCTTCTATATCATTGGGTAGTGTTTTAGGTATCTTTTCCTTTGGATTTGTTGTTTGTTGATCATTACTAACGTTTAAACCGGATAATGAATACCATTCATTGAAAAATCTTGAAATCGAACCCGCGGAGACATATGAAGTATATTTAACCAAGACACTTCTTTTAGTTTTTTTATTAAAACCTCTATATAAATCACTTGAAATGTTTGATAAAAGGGTATAATCAGGGATAACTTCACGTGAAGCATCAGCTAAAACTGAATTTTGATTACTAAAGTTGAAAACTTCAAATAAATCTTTTGTTATATGTGAATTTTTTTTTGTGGCTGACCCTAATAAATAATCATAAAAATTTTGATCTGATGGAGTACCTTCTGAAGTATTACTTGAATCTGTTGATAAATGAGTTACAGGTGATAATAAATCATTGAATATTAATTCTGAACGATTTTCTCCAGATGCATTTGGTGAGATCAATTTGGGACTTGGTCTGTGTAATGAATTCATTGGTTCATCCATACTGGAATTTTGTGAGTTGTTGTGTTCAATCATTGTGAATATTGGTATTTGATACTTGATGACTGATGCTTGAACTTGATCTTTTAGTTTCTTTCTTCTCTAAGCTCTTAACGCGCTGAGGTATTTGAATTGTAATGGCTTGATGTCTTTAACACAGCGGTAAAGGTAAAAATTGAAAGAATGTAGTGTAATTTAGTATATGATTGATAAAACTGTTGACAATGACGATATAGTTGTTGATTATATGACTAGGGTTGACCGTCCCCTGTTATATTAGGTTGATTGTATTGTATGATATTTGATGAATTGGTTGAAAATATAAATTTTCTTTGTTGATAAAATTATTTTAGTTAGCTACAGAATCCAGATGTATTAAATTTTCCCAATACGATCGATAATTTTAATCAACCATATTAAATTAGATTCACAGGAAAAAAGAAAACTGGAGACTAAGTAAATGGTGACCTACATGTTACGAGTAAGCAGTTAAGTGGTAAGAGGTAAGAATTCCAAAATGTCACTAATCTAATCTCAGTTTAAGCATTCATGTATTTCATTTAATGATGACTATACATATGGTACATGAACCATGAATCAGAAAGATCATGAATCCCTTATCCGATACTCTGTTCAACACTTGATAAAGTCTTTACCATGTGGTGTCTTGTACCTGGATTATTCCTAGTTCAAATTGTTCCAACTGTTCCGAATTGATTGCTTAATCCTGTTAGATTCTGTTCTTCAAGTTGATTGTAGTTTAGATGTCAAATTGTAAATGCTCATCAAAGTTTCGAAGATTGCGGATTTCCTGCATGAACTCAGCTTGTATAAGCACGAGTGTGGAAAATAGTCAAATTTAACCGACAAGAATTTGTATGGAGATGTCTGATCAACAATAGCTTATCTAATTACTAATTGTATCTCATTTCCATCAGTTGTATAATTATGTTATGGTTATTGTTATATCATGTTTATACTATCAAGTTATCTGAAAGATTCTCGAGACTAAATAAATTATAAGACCCCTGTCATTTGTACAGCTTAATATAATTTTTGTGATTATACGTCCGTCTATACTTTCATTTGGAAAATAATTGCACTAGTCTTGAATATTACGAGCTAAATTCGTACTACTATCAGATCTAGATCGTCTTGAGACTTAACCTTCTTCGTTAGTAAGACCTAGTGATTCATACATACTAGTGCACAACCTATAATTAAGCTACTAACTAGTAACTACCCAACGTATTCAGGTTACTTACGTACTTACTCAACTTTTCGAGTGTATGAGGCTTGCGCTCTTAAGCCTATTTAAATGTACAGTAATTAATTAACCACTATAAAATTATTTTACTGTTTATTCCATGATATTCCAGGCTGGGCTGGACTCTGGTAAACTAGATTCTTTGTCAATTTTAGGCAGACATTTTCCCCAGTGACCTCACTAAAGTTAAACTTTATCCCATGACTCCTTCTAACGCCTCCCAAATTCTACCCACGTACCCGCCTACCCGCCTAGTGTCCTACCTGTCTAAAACTGTTGGTACCCCTGTTGATCAAAGGTATAGAACAAAGCATAAAGGTATAGAAGTCTAGCTTGATTTTGCTGATCAGTGATCTATAATCTATAGAGTTACTATATAGGTATAGTGTATAGGGTATAGGGTATAGGGTATAGGACCGGTATTTCTAGTTGTTCAAGTAAATCGACTTAAATTAAAGAAATAGATTCTTCAAGTTTAAGTATCAATACATGAACTTTATGCTAAGCCTAAAAACTTTTGGTATCTATTTCAAGTACAACTCCAAGAAATTTTTTAATGATATCAGCATATCAGCTCAATGTTATGTATAAACGTTGAACTCGTAAAAATCAGATATCAGAACTAAACTCTTGAAGTAAGGACGTAGAGTCACAAGTTACAACTAATTACGAGTGACGAGACTACTAGTCGAGCAGCCTAGAGCTACGTTATTAACTATGAAGACCTCTATTTATAGATTGATTACCATCAAGTACAGCTAACTGATCAAGTGTTGAAATCTTGGTTGGGTAAACGTATCTTGGATATATAGTGGATCTTTTTTAGTATTCATGTTAATTTGATGACGAATTATTAGCCATTAATTGTTTGTTATCTGAGTTTGAAAAAGTTCAGATCTTAGTCTACAAGACAAAATATACGTAGAATTAATGTACTTTTATATTTATATATATCTCAATTTTTATTCTTCATCTGATGAATCTTCTTCAGCTTCTTCTAACCAATCAATAAATTTTAAAACATATTCATTTTCATAATTTTCTTTAGCGTTTTTCCACCAAATTAAAATTGAATCTTCATCAATAATTTCAGAATCATATAAAACACTTATTATATGAAATAAAGCTTGTTTACCATAATCTTTTGTCAAAGTTAAATCTTTCAAAATTTCTAATAAATCAATTTCTTCTTCTTGATCAAATGCTTGTCTTTTATATAAATTACCCCAATGTTTAAATAATTTATAAATTGCTTCTTTAATTTGTAATGTACCTGATATAATAAATTCATCAACTTTTGAAATTAATGCAGTTGATGTAGCTAATCTAACTTCATGATATGTAACATTCATACTCATTCTTAATGTATTCAATTCTAATAATGCTGTATCTAAATCATGATTTTCAGCAATTGCACGTTGAACTGTAGCAACAGCTTCTTTATCAAAATCTTCTTCTTCTTCATATTCCATATCTGTATGATAACTTGTTGTTGACATTGTTCTTTTCTTTTTTTGTTTTGTTTGAGTGACAGATGTAATTGAATCATCTGATAATGTTAATTCACCTAAACTATACATTAATGAATTAACAGGTTTAGCAAATTCATCATCTGAATCTTCAATTTCTGATTCATAAACATAACCAACACCATTTATACCAACAATGGCTTGATGATCAATCTTGGATTGAATTGCATGAGTACTTTCATCATCTTCCTCATCATCTTCATCTTCATCTGATGTATTAGCAAAACTTTGATCATTACGTTCAACAGGTTCAGATGAAATTCTTGTATCTTTTCCAATAGTTTTATCATTTGAAATAACAACATCAAATCCAATAACTGAACCATTTTCCAAGATAGTATTATTACCAATTTTAGCACCATTTGCTACAATTGAATAAGATAATTTAGAATTATCTTCAATAATTGCATTATCCCAAATATAACTATTTTTTATAGTTATATTATTACCAATTTTACAATTTTTACCAATAACTGAATTTTCAATATAAGTACCATCACCAATTATAGTATTTGATCCAATTGCTGTACATGAACCAATTTTACAAGATTGAGCTAAAATAACATTTTCTTCTTTATAAATATGTTTAGCTTCATATGAATAACTTTGTTGAGTTAAATAATTTGAATCTGGACAAATTGGATAAGCCCATCTTGCTAAAATATCTTGAGAAATTGCATCATAAGTTTGCCAACTTTCCACTCTTGCAGCATAATCATCTGTAATATATGCATATAAAGTTTTTTTCAAAATATCTGAACTTAATGTACTTTTAACAAAATCTCTTCTTAAATATTGATAATCAAAATTTTCTTGGAAAATTTGAGGAACATGTGGTGTACAAATATCAACATGACAATCTATTAAATCATTTCTTATCACAAATTCATCAACTCCATCTAATAATTCTGGATCAATTGAAACTGAATCTTTTTTACCATCTGCAGGGGGTATATCTTGATAATATAAACATCTGTTATTTGTTTTATCTAATATAAAAGTTGCAGGTTCTGCATGTGATCTTGTTCTATGTAATGAACTTGCTTTTGTTAAAACCATAGTTGCAATATGATCTCTATCAACAGCTTTTCTTGCCTTATGTGCTTCCATAACTTTATCAAATTGAATATTTGTAACAACATCACCTGAAACTAATAAGAAATCACCAGTAATTAAGCCTCTATTATCTAAATCTCTCATTGCATCACCAACTGATCTTGATTCTAAATTCATTATAGTATTAACTTTAAAAGGTGACCAAGGTAAATTCCATTTAGATTGTTCAATATAACCTTGAATTTGATCAGCATGAGCTGAACACATTAAATAAACTTCATCAACACCAGCTTTAGCTAAAAATTCTAAAGTATATTCAATTAATGGAACATTAGCTAATGGTAATAAACATCTTGGTTTAACTGAAGTTAATGGCATAAATCTTGTTTCAAAAGAATCAGTTAAAACAATTGCTTGTAATCTTTCATCTTTAACAACTTCTTTTTGTTTCTTTACTTTTGGAGGCATTTTGAATGTCCTTCTTTGTATAAATCTATTGATAAATGAATTATAGATCTATAAATTTTGAACAATTATGACTTATACACTTTAACTGAAGGTATGATTTAATTTTTTTTTTTCGCAGTGAGCTCGAACTTTTCGCGAAGGCCAGGCTAAAACTTTGGCATTAATTTCTTCAGTAAAGAAAAAATTGGGCTTATAAAATTTTACTTTTTAAGATTTAACCACTTTAAAATCATTTCAAAACATTACAAATAACGTCTAAACCTCAGCTTAAACAAAGAATCAAGAATTTAGTTCAAAAAGAGTCCGTGTATACAGGAAAAACAAAAAAAAACTTTAGTTGCAAAACTTGCAAAAAAAGATGCTCGAGGTGGGGTTCGAACCCACGACGGTCGCGTTACTCTAACACAACTGTGACAGTTTGCACAACGTCATTGATTTGATGCCGCTATAAGCACGAAGCTCTAACCACTGAGCTACACGAGCACTGGTTGAATGCAATACCCCCCTTAGCAACCGAGACGTCTGGCTCCCTAATGACACTATAC